TAAATTGACTTTTCTAATTATTTTGTGTGTGTGTGTTTGTGTGTGTTAAATTAGCTAAAAATACACATACTGTGTTCTTAATCTTGCTTAGACATGAAGAAAAGCAGACACCATGTTTTTAAAAAAAAATTTAAATTACTATTTTCGTATTTTTAATTTTTTATATTTATTTTAGCCAACTAAAAACAAAATGTATTAATATTATCAAACAAAGTTAGATGATATTAATAAAAAACAATGTTTTAAATGTTTTTACAACTACAAATCAGAATATATAGGATAGTAATCATGACCAGACTTTACTGTAAAATAAAGATAGTCCATTTAAAGTTAAATTAAGAGTAGTTAAACTATAAATAGTTAAAAAGATATTTTAAATCTGGCTACAGAAAAAAATGCCAGTCTGACTAGAAATACTAATGACTATATATAACATATTTGTCGTAGCACAAATGTTCGGCTTTCACTCTGAAATGGTTAAATTGTCTACATAGGCCGTTTTTAGATCATCCAAAAATTTTTTTTCTGTTTTCTTTTATTCAGCTTGAAAGTGGATGACGAGTCTTTTCAGTTACTAAATTTGGTTGGTTGCATAGACTTGATTTTAACTTTACTAGAGTTAGCATTCTGCATACACGAAAGGTAGTTGTTAAAATCATTAACTTTGCTGGTTGCTGCCAAGCAAGGTTCAACCTGGTGATGGAAGTTGTCTGCAGACATAAATGTATGCCCAGGTTCAAAATATTTAAATTCAATTCTATATGCAGAGATTTCATCACTGTTTACTATATAAAGTAAGAATGTGAAAAATGCCCAATTTTTATTTTGATTGGCACAGTTGTCAAGCCATAATATGGTATGCTCTTCGTCACGTTTCTCTAAGAAAAATACATGAAAAGCACTGATGATTTCTTTTTTCCATCCAGCTACACCTTCATGCCAAACTGCTGCAATAGCTGGAGCAAGATTGTGATTTCCAAGTGGCACAAAGCTTTTGTTGAAGGCAGTAATTCATTGAGTAAAACATACCGGTTTAAACTCTTCCATCCTTGGCAACATAATTACTTTTTTTAAGTCAGCAGAATCAAAAATTGCAGTCAATAACTCCATTTTCTTTTTGAACTTGTCTGTCGCTTCTGTATTTTCTGCTCGAAGTAGCTTTATCTATGTGCTTCTTCCAACTTATACATTTTGTGGTTTTGGTCATGTAAATTAAAGCATTCACATGTTTCACATTGCTCATGCCCTAGTTTTTTAATGGATATTGCCATTTCTTTCAAAACCTTACGATACAGGTCATAGGAACAATTGAAATTTGAAGTTTGTTGAATGAAATGTTTATGCATGTTTTTTCTTTTAATATCGGATGGTAAATACCTTCTGTTAGGTGGGTGCTCTCTTCGATATTGAGAAATGCATGGATGAAAGGACTCGATGTTGTTCCTGAGGATCTCTCTGTCGAATTTTTTAAGATTGGCAGTTTTTCCATTGTACATAAAGTACTGATTTGTTTTTAATCGCCTTGATGTATCAGTGGTATGCCGTTTCACAATTTGTCTTTTACAGCCAGAAATAATAAAAACTTTTTTTTCGTACCATTACACATTCCAGAAATCCGTATTTAATCTAATATCATCAATTTTGTTTACAAGTAGATTTACATGGTGGTAGAACACTATGTTTAAGAAGTAACTTATCTAACTTTAGTTTACCTTTTACAAATTTAGATATAAATCTTTTTTTTTTTCGAAATATTAATACCTTCATTTATTTCTTGAATGTTAACAACGTTGGCAAAATTAGATATAACATTGACTATAGTCACAATGTTATTCTCTACATCCATGATAAAAGCGTTAACAAAATTTAATTCAACATCGACTACACTTGTAATGTTATTCGCTACATCCATGGCTTCAATGTTGGCAATAGTTGTTCCGACTATGTTTGCAATGTCATTTGCAACATCCATGTCAACAATATCCACAAAATGATTACTTTTAGCATCCACAACTTTATCTGTTCCAATGTTCATTCCTGTTGCGACTTTTTGTAAATCAAACCTTAGTGACAAACTTTTTCAGTTGAGCTGATCTTTAGAGCATCTGTCTGATCAAATTCATTATAATTTAATTCATTAGGATTGTTTAGGAACTTTACCTTTATCAAAGCTCTATTTATTGTATCTAAATAAAACAAACATTAAAATCATTAAATTTATACAAAAATTTACAAAATTTAAGACAGAAAAAATCAGCCACAACAAAAAAAAACTTTTTCATTGTTTATATAAAAAATGTCATAATTATGTTATTTCATTTATTATTTTCTTTATCAGATCTTGAATTCAAATCTTATTATTATTATTACTATTATTATTATGCATGCAGTAATATACCCATTACATGGGTATATTACTGCATATACTCATATTGGGTATTGGTTAATAGGGTCAACATGGGCCATGTTGAGCCTATTGACCAATACCTATAATGACTCTGTTATGCTGTGTTAAGGTATCAGCAAAACAGTGAAAATCCCTAAAAAAAACTGTGCCTATACATTATTATCATGTGTAAAGGTATCAGCAAAACAGTTAAAACCCTAATCCAGATTGCAAAATTATTATTCTAAATCAATTACATTTTAATTTAAATCTAAATCAATTTATAATTTATACTAAATTTAAAATAAACAAATTTTTTTTTTAATCAATTTCAATTTAAAAATAACTTTTATAATAATATTATTATAATAAACAGTAAAACCTTTACTATTAAATAAATGTTATAAAGTTAACAATAGTATAATTTTATTACATTTTAACGCAATTAAAATAACAATAAATACTTCAAAGCGCATGTGCAGGTGTTGTTTTTTTACTTCCGATAATAAGAATAAAGAAAGTAACTGCAGGCCCCTTATTTAATTTTCTAAATGCCAAAATAAAAAGTAACGTATAAAATTCTAAAGTTTTATTTTTATAATAACCTATAAAAACTACAAATTATTTATTTTAGCAAATGTCACTCCTTTTACTGTTGGGGCAGCACTTGATGATGTTGTTGCAAAAACTGCACTGGCTATAAGAAATATTTATTAAAATGTTTTATCTAATTAAAAATTACACATTTTATGATTAAATTATCTACAAGCAGATTTTATGTGTTTCATCATGACAGTACATCACTTGACAACATTCTTGCTCTCATCAAAGCCAATTCGCATTTTAGCAAAGTACACCACTTGAGTAATGAGGACAACACTTTTGCTTTAAACTAAGTCACAACACTTTGAAACCATAGAAACAACATAATAACCACTTACAATTATAAACGCATAACATTAAAACACATTACACACATAGAAAACAATTTATATATAACAGATATTGACACATAAACACTTACAAAATATAAACCCATATAGCCTTAACACAAACAACATATAATAAATAATACACATTACCCAATCACAACACATAAAAATTAAGAAAAATATATATAATAGGAACATTTACAAATACAACCTTACTTGTGTAATAACACATAAAAACAATTCGTATGTAACAGATATTTACGCATTTATGACACAAACACATACAAAATATAAACCCCTATAACCTGAACACATAAAAACGCATAACAAGTAACACATATTACCACATCATATGACACATAAAAATGCTTAAACATAAATTAAGAAAGATATATAAAGTTTGAAACATTTGCAAATACAACCTTATTTTTTGTTTTTTGTTTTTTTGTTAATTCACCTCCTCAAGGCCGAGAAGGCCACTACAGACAAGGAGGCTACTTAATAGTGGTTATAACCCTCTCTCAACTCTATTTGACAAGATTTGCTGTGATAAAATTTAATTTAATGCAGTTTAGACTTTAATGAAGAGTTTTTATAAACAAAATAATCAAAAGTTTTAGGAACTTCTGAAAATTTAACAATTCAATCAGAAACTTTTATTCCATTACAAAATTCTAAAGATTCTATTTCAAAAATAGGCTGTGAAAAAATAACATTTAGAAATCTTTTATATTTCAAACATTCAAACAACTCATTTGTTTTAAGTAACATCCATCCATTGACTGGAATAGTAAAATATTAGGAATCTTCTACAAAAATTAAAAATTTTGGAATGACATCTTCCATAACTTATACAATAAAGACAAACGAGAAAAAAAGTTTTAAGAAGTCAGCGAGACTGTGCGAAAAAAGAACTTTCAAGAAGTAATTGACAATTTTCTTGCTTCAATATTGACAATAAGAGAAACAGCCCTTGAAATTGACAATTCTGATCCACAGTTTTTTATGTTCAAAATTATTTGTTTTCTTTCAAAGAAATTCATTAATCACTTATCAATGATTTTCTTTGAAAGAAAGAAATTTTCTTCTTTTCATCTTTTGTGATGATGTTAGTTAAGTTTGAAATTTTTTTGTGAAATCTGTTTTTTTAGGTATTTTAAAGAAACTCCAGTATATCTTCTTAGGGCATAGCTTCATTAAATTAAACAATTTTCATCTGACATTTACAATATCTGATTCAATAAGTTCAAACAATCAGTTATTGTTTGCTTCCAGATTATCTAATTCTTATGGCTATGTTTACATCTATAAATCTTTATAGATCCAACATTTTTATTTTTAAATATGTATGTTTATGTTTTTATTCAATTTTCTAACTATAAAGCCGTGGTTTATCAAAATACAAACTCCTATGTTTTTTCAATAATGATGTTGAAATATATTTTCAAAACTGTTTAAGCTTTGTGCTAGGAAATTAATTATGTAGACCACTGTACATTGTATCAAACATAAGCATAAATATAAACCTGTGTTACATATATTTTATTATGTTGTATTATGTTATTTATTAAACTTATTCTATTTATGTATAGTTTTTTTTTTTATGTAGTTATTTTCTATTAGTTATTTTTTCTTCAAAAATAAAATAATGAAATTAAAACTTTTATAAATAATTATTTAAGGTTAACACCAACATATGGTTTTGTAATTTTAATTTGGAATAATCTGTTTCCGTTAATTGTAACTGGACCGCATGGATTATTGATAAGGTATGGAGATGGTTTTCAACAGCCATGCAATAGTTACTGGTGGTCTAATCTGCTTTATATCAATAACTTTTATCCTGATAATTTTATGAAACAAGTAAAGTTTTTATTACATTTTATTCAATATTTAGGGTTTTTACATTTGATTTTTTAATAATAGAACAGTATGCACTAAATTTAAAGATTATTTTCTCAGTGTTTGGGCTGGTCATGGTACTTGGCAAATGATATGCAATTTTACATTATTAGTCCAGCAATACTTTATGCATTATATTGGTATGAGAAATTTGATTTTTTTTAATTTAATAAGCAGAAAAAATTATTTAGTATTAAATAAAAAACTTATTTTTCGTTTAGGTGTGATGAAAAATTTTTGTCTTAATTTTTTATGTGATAAAAGAAATATCTTTGTCTACCTTGTTTTATGTGTGACAAAAGATATATCATTTATCTTTTCAGGTTCTATAAAAAATATTTCTTTATTACAGATTTGATAAATGATATATTTATTTTAGGTTTGAAAAAAAATATGAAAAAAGATCAAGTTACTTATTCTCGTTTCTTTTTTTGGGTGCAATAACATCTATATCATTGTTAAGTACAGGTTTAGTTGTTGGCATTAACGACTATCCCAGTGTTATCACTGCTTTATATTTACCAAATAATCCCAGAATGCAAGTTTATACACATATATTTTTTTTCACTTGTTATGAAAAAGTATTACTATGATGTTCAACCTGTGGTGGATTCCTTTTTGAGGTTAAAAAGCAATTTTGTTATTTTTAGTTCAAGTGCAGCAGGCTTTCAAAATAAAGTTTATGAAAAGCCACACACAAGGTTTGCTCCTTATGCTATAGGAATGCTTCTTGGATATATCATTTCCAGAAATATTTTAGTTAGAGAAAAGAAAGCAAAGAAGGTATTTTTTTTTTAATGTTTCTTATACTTATACTCATAAAAACTATTTCTCTTTTTCAATTCTTTTACTCTGAAGTCTAAATTTCTGGTGAAACAAGTAGAATGTTGTCTCTAAAACAGTTTAAAGTCGTAATTTTTTTTTAGACTTCAAACATCACTTCTGCTTGTTAATGAGTTCTTTCGATTTCCAAATTATATCTTAGCCTTATCTTAAATTATATTATAGCCTTAACAAATACTGTCATAATTGACATGTTAATTGTTGCCATAGATAAAATATGTATAATTTGTAAATAATGAAAACTAAAATAAACTTTCAAATTGTTTATTTTAATTTGCTATAAAAATTTTTTTTTAACTAAAGATTTATGATAAATTTTTAGATTTTCTTCAGTCTTGGTTGGTTGTTATCTATTGCAACAGGTCTTGCTGTTGTATATGGTGTTTGGGGTGTATTTAAATCTGATGGTCATTTTTTTAATGGTGGAGAAAATGTTATATATGGTACTTTTCATAGGGTAGCTTGGGCCTGTGCTGTGGCATGGGTAGTCTATGCATGTCATAATAATGCTGGAGGTAGCCATTTTTATAGGATAAATAAACTTAATATTAGTTTATAATAATATTATTAAGTTTATTTATTTATGCTATATATAAAATAAAATATCATTAGTTATTTATTTTATTTTTAAATTAAAGTTTTGTTAATTATTAATTTTTAAAAAATTGTTCAAAGTTGTGTAAAGCAGTCCTGGAAAACTTTTTTTGGAAACATTTAATGTTTCATCTAATAATACATTTTGACTTTTTTTTTTTATGCTCTGGTACTAAAAATAATTGCCATGATACCTGTATTTGCAAATAAATTTTTTTCACATCTCTAGCAAGAATTATTTAAAGATTTGTTGGAGTTAAGATTAAAGTCAATTTTGAGATTTTAATGTATTAAAAAATTGTGAGCATCAAACATCATTACAGTTTTTTATTTTTACAGATTTTTGTTGTTCTGTTAATTTATTTTGTTAAAATTCAATCATTTTAAATATCTTTGCCATTTTATTTTTTAATTTATTAGAGAATTCAATTGTTAGGAAAAAATATTTTCTCTGTAGAATAGAAGCTCTAAGCGTCATAAAAAAGTCAAGCTGGATTAAAGGTATTTTGCAAATGTGTTAGAAATCTTAATGAACCAGGAGGTAAAACAGAAGAGACATCAAATGCAATTTTGATTAACCGGGGAGTCAAGAATTATAATTTTTAACATCAAGAGGTGCATTGTTAAGAATTAAAATTGTACATACACTGCGATACATCATAATAAGTATGGCAGTGAAATAGAGACTACAATGTTTAGTTATATGCATTGTCTGGAAAGAAAGGGCAAAGGTAATGATTAGAATGATTTGTGACATTAGCCTAAAGGACTGGAAATCAAGTTGAGAGCTTTACTATTTGCCAAAAATCTGTATTGTATATACCAATATGTTATATTAACCATGTGTATCCATGATTTGCCTAGGAAGGTCAGATTGGTTTGAACATGTAAAAATACAAATAATTGGGTATCAGCGTACTTTTTCTGTAGAAATAAACTGATACAGATTATGGAAAATATGGAAAGGTTGTATAACAGACACTTTGAGTGGAATTAAAAAAAAGAAAATGTGAAAGATTGTAAGTATTGAAGGAGAATGCATATTCGTTTGGTTGTTATTTATTGCAACAGATTTCAACTCTTCTAATAAAAAATTATTTTTGATCTCAGCTTAGACACATGTTAACTATGATGATGGTGATCATGATGATGGTGATGATCATCTTGATGATGGTGATTATCATCATGGTTATGGTAATAATGATGAGCATAATCACTCTGATATCAATGATGATGAAACTATGATGATTTTTTCATCATCTGTTTTACTTTTTTTTCTTTACTATTTCTCTGTTTCAGAGCACTATGCTTCTGTTTTTTTTTTCCATTTGTTTTTTTCAATTATTATTAGTTATTATTTTTTTTATTAATTGTAAATATATAAAGCAAGTATTTAAAAAAATATATATAAAAAGAGGAAAAGTGTAACCATGTACAGAAAAGCTGGAAAATTCACATTTTTTCTTGTCAAAAAAAAGCAGTTAAGATAAAATTGACTTGTTCAATTTAAAAATTGAACAAGTCAATTTTATCTTAACTGCTTTTTTTTGACAAGAAAAAATGTGAATTTTCCAGCTTTTTTTCCAGCAAAAGGTTCTGCTAAATGGATGCTACCAAAAATCATTAACTTTTAGTTTGTCTTTTTGAAAAGAAACATTTACAAATTTTAAAAAAATTCTTTTTTATTTAACAAACTTTTTTAGGGTAATTTGATAATAATAAAATTTTATTTGAAGATTTACTAATAAACTTGAGGATAGCTCCATTAGGTAAGTAAACATAAATTTTTAATTTTGTTAAATGAAATCTGTTCACATACAACATGCAGTAAAAATTGTATAAAAAATAACAATTTTTCGTTAAAAATAATGGTAACCTTGATTACTTTTTTTCATATTTACATGAAATGCTGTATGAATTACTAAGTTATTAATGTTTCTGGCTAAATAAGATTTTAGTCCTTTTTTTTTTTTTAAAGGATTGATTAATAAGTTTTTATCATGGAAGTTTTGGATTCCGTTAAGTAGACTGTCTTTTAATGCATATCTGATACATCTGGCTGTCATTATCTATTTTTACAATATCCAAGGAAATGGAATTCATTATCAAGCAAACATGATGGTAACTAAGTTTACAGTTTTTTAAAAATTATTTATAGAAATATTTAAAAATTATTTTTTTGATGATTTATTAAATAGTATTGTTTCCTTTCTGTACTAGTGTTCTAAATTATGATAATTAAATAGTTTTTTTTTATTGTTATTTTTAATTATTTAAATTTTAAAGTTAAAATTTTGAATTTTAATAAATAGCTAAACTGAAGCTAGTTGCAACAGTTTCAATAACCATATTTATAACCTGTTACTTCAATTTTTTTTTTTATTAGTAGTAGTAGGGAAATGAAATAGATCTTAGGGACTTATTATTCCAACATTAATAGATAAATGTAAAACTTAGTTATCCTGCAATTTTGAAAATAAAATAAAATAAAAAATTTCGCAACTTACACAACTCTAGGGCAAGTGACAGGTAAGTTGCAACAGAACATCTTGAAAGAATAAGCTTCAAATCCTCAAAAAAATGTTATTTATATTGTTTTACGCAATTTTTTTTATAATTATTTTTTATTAGTTTTTTTATGTTTAAAAAGATTTTTTAGCTCCGATTATTTTAGATTGTTCAAATACCTTTTAGTTTACAATTCAAAAAATGCAAACTTATATTTTATATTAAATGAAAAAAATTAAAAATAAGTAATTTTTATTTTATTACTATATATTTTTTATAACTGATGTGTTATTAGATGTGTTATTATATTATTTATACTATAAATAATATAATAACATAATTATAATTATGTTAATATATTTTTTATAATAAATATAATATTTTATAGCAAAGGTGTTATCGTTATAATTACTTAATGTAAATTTATTAGTGAATAATAAATAAAAGCAATCCTTTAAAAGACTCTTACAAGACTTTAAAAGACTGTTACAACTTGCTTCTGTTGCAACTAAACCCTACTTGAAAGTTAAATCTTAAAAACCTATAATAAATATTTGGCGCATGTTCATAAAAAATTTGGAAATTAGTGAATTGGCTGAAAATTTAGTCCAATTTCTGTATAAATTAATTAATGATTTTGGTCATTGGGGAAATCTGAGAAATTTAGATTTTGATGTCAGGAGGCATTCCAGTGATGAAAGGTGTTTTTATCAAATTTCATATTTTTATTTTTTTAAATTGTTACATAGATTACATTACATTGTTGAAAAAGTATAAACCAAATTGAAATGAGATACCATTATTATTGACAATATTCGTTTAAACCATTTTTTAAAAGATATCTTTAGAAGACAGGCATAAATGACGAATTTCCTATTAACATTAAAATTAATAACCTTCGATTAACTTTTTCACTCATCTCAAGGAAAAAGACAATAGAAGAATAAAAACGGAAAAACCTCTTAAAAAAAAATTATTTTTTTTTCCATCTAATTTAAAATTTTAAGAAATTTATTATGAAATTAAGTAGTCAAAATCTTATTCAAAATCACTTTTTTTTTGTAAAACAAATGACGTTTTTGTATGGCCACATATGTTTAATTTCACCTAGCAATGCCCTTGGTTATAGGAAAATTATCAATAAAAAACATATAGTCTACTTTTTTTGACTTTTTTTGCAGTTTCGTCAGAAATGCTTTGTACAATCTCTAAAGCTATATTTTAAAACCTCATATTCGAAAAAGTGTGCTTGGACTCCGCATTATAAGTCCTCTTTTGAAGCTTCTAAATTCTGCACAAATGAAGAAAAATGAAAAACTATGAGACAGAATATAGTGGTTATAGAATTAAAAGCTTAGTGCTAAAAGTAATTAAATCACAAAATAAATGTTTTGAAAAAATACTTTTAGCACTAAGGGGCCGTCCATAAACGACGTCACGCAATTTATTGCAATTTTTGACCCCCTCCCCTTCGTCACAATTCGTCACAAAAGTTTAGACTCCCCTAGAATATTATGTCACAAAGTGATGACCCTCCTCTTCTTGGATAAATGTTCATAAATATTTAACTGCTGTTCTAAATGGTCTTTTTTCTTTTTCTTTTTTTTCAATTCAGCATCTTGTTTGAATGAAAAGCATTTCACGTTTTTGTTGCTTGCACAAACCGATTAAATCAGAACTTAGAATTTCATTCTGTGTCTGCAATGGCAGTTGGGTTGGGGCAATTCTATATTTCTGGGCGGGCAGTACTAGGTTTAGGCTCTAATTCATCGCTAACAATATTGGTATCTTTTTTATCAAACTGCAAATTTAAAGTTAGAAGATTTTTGTTATGCACATTTGTAGTAGAAGGTTTATTAGTAGATAACGCTTATTCATCCCGAAATGTTAGTGTGTTCCTTTTTTTACTTGTGGAAAGAACATTTAGTTCTTGCAACCAAATGATCCGCTTTGATTTGTAAATTTTATCAACTTTTATTTCATTCCACTTCTGAATTAATTCTACTTGAAAAGCCTTTTTGATCTTTGTAGGATATGCTAAAACTTACACGTCAAAAATACGTTCATTCTACGAAAAGAATTTATCGGCGCTTACAAATCAGATGCGCCTAAATATTAATTGAGAAACAAATTTTAAAATGTGGTCGAGAACTATTTAATACGTTTAAACAGTTACTATTAAATACTTTTTTATCTTCAATTTTTTATGTTATATTGTTTTATGGTAAAATGTGAACTTTTTTATATGTAAACTTTTGTCACTACTTACCGCGGGAGTACATTAAGTCTAATAAAAGATCTCATTGCATCATCATTTCAAATTGTATTTGTTTAGAATTTCGTTTTAAAAGTAAATTATATACATATATATATATATATATATATATATATATATATATATATATATATATATATATATATATATATATATATATATATATATATATATATATATATATATATATACAGTAGCGTAGGGGCAAAAAGTAGGCCTCATGCCAAATTTTAATCCGGACCCCTAAATTACTTATCCCCTTCCTCCCTTCTCTTTTTCTTGATTTTCTTGAATTTCTGTAAATTGGTTAAAACTTTTTTTTATATTTAATTGAACTGCTTCTGTTTCAGTAGCTATTAGGTCTAGTGCAGAAAAAAATATTTGCGCCATTGTTGTCCTTTAATGAGTTTTAATGTGCTTAAGAATTTTTTTGTTGTTGCTACCTAATGGGTAATGTCAAATATACATAAGTGCTAGTATTAAATTTTTAAATGAGCAACTTATAATATGTTATTGTGGACACGGATGATATGCAGTAATACGGATAGTACCAACTAGCTTCTTAATATCTAAATATTCAAAGTACCAACTAGCTTCTTAAATTTTCAATTTAAGAAGCTAGTTGGTACTTTTTGAGGGTTCAGCCCCCCCCCCCCCCTCATTTTAATTGTAGAATCGCCTATTTATATATATATATATATATATATATATATATATATATATATATATATATATATATATATATATATATATATATATATATATATATATATATATATATATATATACATATATATATATACATATATATATATATTTATATTTATATATATATATATATATATATATATATATATATATATATATATATATATATATATATATATATATATATATATATATATATATATATATATATATATATATATAGTTTTAAATATATATATTTTTTTTATTATATAAAACATTTTTTGTGACGTCACATTTCTTTAACCCCCTCCCTCCCCCTTGTCACAGATTGTCACAAAAGTCTGAACCCCCTTTCTCCTCTAGATGTGTGACGTCGTTTATGGACAGCCCCTAAGCTCTTCAATTAAATTTTCTGCAAAACGCCTCTGAAAACTTAAATCTATTTTTATGGCTTGAGAATGAAAAAAAAATGTGTAAGTCTTGGTGTAAATAATGATAATAATAGTTATGTAAATATAGTACACTCTGTAAATATTGAAAGCGCATCAAAAATGAAAGTGAAGTAAGTAATAGTATCAAGCGGAAATTCAAAATGTGTCAGTGGCTACAGATTTATTAATATGGAATTTCTAGCCTCCATATTTGTTAAACTTGAGTGTTCAGAATGTCTGCAACCATCTCTGTTGTTACTCTATTGTCATCTTCTGTTGTCATTATGTGAGAATTAAAAAAACTTGCAAAGGATTCGCATTAAATTTATCTTTAAGTAACATTTGTGATTTTAAATTAGACTTAAAGACATCTTCATAGACAAACCAAATAATGAAGCAGGGTATGATATAAATAAAAAAATGTTTTATGACATTAGAAGGCTTAGCTGATCTACATCGCTTTACCACCCTTATGTGAACATGTTAAAAAGATTATGTAATAAAAGCTAAAATGTTATTGTTTAAAAAATGACAATCGTAGCACAAGCAATTACTAATGAACCTATGCATCAAGTTGTACAATAACTCAGGGAAGGCAAATCTCCTAATGAGACAAAAGACACTGGAGTTTAGTTTATGAAACGTGATTCAAAGCACATTTGGAATAAAAACTATAAAGAATTTTTTGGTGGGATGGAAATAGCTGAAGCAATAAAGATATTTATTTTCTCTCTAGAGAAATTTAATTTCCAGTACACAGAATTCATGGGTGATAATGATAGCGAAAACTACACTACTGTCAAAAGCACATACAAGGATAATAAAGTTATCAAACTGAATTTTACTGAATCGCGGGGTAAAGCATAAGTGGCAATGACGTTTGTCTGACGGGATAAACTAGTTATAAATGCTGATCCTCATCGAAACGCCAGTAATAATAGACGCGACTCTGAGGAGATGTTTATTACTTATCACTACACTAATTATGTTTACACATTAGCATTAATATTTTTTTTCCATTATTAGTCCTTTCATTGTTGTTAGCATATTTTTAATTTGTTGAATGGTTTTTTGTTTTACAAATTGTTGACTGGTTATGTATTTCTTGTATATTTTAGTTCATATTGGTATTTATAAAACAATTTTTTTATTTTTTATTTATATATATATATATATATATATTTTATTATTGTTTGTTTTTATTTTATTTAATTTTT